GGTTGAATCGGGATGGCCCGTTGGATTGCATGGGTGCCCTTGCTTTTCTTGTTTTTGGAATTGAGGCTGACATGGTCCCACGATGGTTGGTAGTTGATCGCACCTTAGCGAGCGCTGAAGATAACTGTTGCCATAGCTTCTTTCTTGTTCAGCTATGGGAAATATGAATTTTGGTGTGATCATCGCGCAGGAAAATCTTTTTTGAATTTTCTACTGATGTCGAGCCCCCGCGGGCTCTCCGAATATCTTTTTGCAATTAGGACTTAGACTAGGAATTTAGGTACACCACGATTCTGCCGACAACTGCCCAGTGGGCTGACGCTTCTTGCTTATGTGCGCTTTGCCGCGTCAGGACCTGTGCTCTCACCTCCTCGCGCCTTAATCTTGCGTGCAACCGTAATTCTCTTCTTGGCAAGCGCAAATGTAAATGTAATTTTCTCCTTGTTGATGTCTTCGTCGCACCTCCCTCTGCGCGTGCATATTTTTCCCAATCCTATTGGCCTAAGGGATGCATGACTGCATCGATGTGTGGAGAGTGGCTACGTCCCCCACACCGCGGCCTGGCCACGCTATCGTAGGCACTTCCTTTCTCCTTCTTCCCTCCCACTCAGGCACGATCCCGAGTATCTTATGCAAACACGCATGCTATAAATTTTGCAAGCGCGATTAACTCGCTCTCTACGAATTTTGGAGTTTGCGAGGTCGAGAGGATCGGCTAACGAGCAAGAGTCGAAAGGTGAGTAGTAGAGAGTTCGGTGATCCGACGGGCTGGTGCTGGACATGCGGGGTTGACATGTGGTCACGACGGACTGTGGCACATGGACGAAGCTGGCTTGCATGTTCAGGCTAAGCAGGGTGACAACTCTGTGTGGGTGTGTGGCGACGGACTGCCCGCATCCCAATGTTGTGAAGAGGGAAAGAAAGAGAGAGAGAGAGAGAAGGGGAAACGGGATGTGTCGTAATGGTGTTTCTCTCCTGTTCTTCTTAGTAATTTTGGTATTTGGCGCAAGTCGCCCTTGCTTTTTGGATCGGCATCTCGGATTTTTCCTTCGTTTCTGCCCTGAGGATACATCTGTGATTGTCTCCTCCACTTTCCCCTGCCCTCTGTATGAATTGGCAACTTGATTGGTTGATCACCTACGATCGAATGTTGTATGATCCCTGGCCAGTGCCCAAAGGAGTGATGATTGTCCACTCCTTTTTTGTGTGTGTTCGAAGCTGGATGCATGGATGTTTGATGTTTTTCTGTCTTAGTATGAACTAGATACGCATGCTAGATGATTACATGTCTGTCTTACAATAGGATTGCCCACCTTCGGGTTAACAGGCCAGCGCCTACCGGTTGTGAGGTGTGGTCGTTTGTCCACCTGAATGACGGACAGGTCGTTGTGCACGCACGTGTAAGCCCGACCGACGAAGGTCATTACTTACACGCGTGTCTGCAAGACCTGTAGCCGGCCCAGCTCCCCGAATGTCTGAATTTTTGCCCCACCCTGCGGTATGAATATCAAAATCCCCTTTCGTATCACCGATCGCCAGTGGTTGAGGGATCGTGAATTCCAGGAGTATTAGGAACACGCGTGTTTGTCTACACGATCAAGAGCGGAACCTCCGAAATTTTCCTACATGACTTGGAATGAACGTGTTTGCGAGTGGGATAATAGGGATATTAATCAGACCTTGGAACATATCCCCCATCTCCCCGGCTGCCCCAGCTCATACACGTGTCACATCGTTGCGGAATCCGGAATCATTATATGGAAACCGAATTCCCTCCCTATCACCGCATCCTGCCCTTTCACTCTCTGACCATTTTCCCCTGGCGCGCACTCACTCCCTACCGGCCCCAACCCCCGCGCTCGGAGTGCCTGCAAAACCAGGATTACCGAGCCTTCGGCTTCATCAGGCGAACTAGCTCGGAGGAAGAACAACAGGAGCACAGCCTTCGGCTGAAGTCGGCCGCGTCGGAGTTCGAGACCTGCGACGTTCGACGTCGGCAGGTGATCAGCCAGTGAGATAGCCATAGTGTCCCGGCAGTACACCAGATACGAGTCTATCCCAGACAACGGAACCAACGAAGGCGGTGGAAGCCTTGCTCTCCGAAGCATAAAATAGGACTCCGACCCGCGCCTACCCACTTGCATTCGTATCCCTGAAACTTGTCATAGGAGATCTCAGTTCCGACCTGGGACTCCACCCTCACTTTCCTAAAATCCTTGGCACACACCCTGTGTGTCCATTCAATGGGCAACAGGTTTTGTACAACGTCGTTGAACACCCCCGGGGTCCCCGTTGAATCCCCGTTGAACGGTATAACGGCGGCTTCCCGTTGAATTCCGATCAACGGGTCAAGCGCAATGGGGCTCGGACACGTGGCGGGACACGCGTGGAATAAAAAAAAAGTAAAACAAAAAGTAAAAAAAACACCCTGTGTGTGTGTGTGTGTGTGTGTGTTCATGTGTGTGTGTGTGTGTGTGTGTGTGTGTGTGTGTGTGTGTGT